ATACAGCGAATCAGAGTTCTGACCAGAACGTGAGATTCTAAGGTTCCACAAGGTCAAAGTCAATCTTATCTCTGCCCCGATATCCACTCCCTTATTTTCCCATGGAATATTTCACATAAACTGTTACTCTCAGACAATTAAACATTGTATACAGATATAATGAGCCCAGAAAGAACATAATGATACCCAGAAAGAACATAATGATACCCAGAAAGAACCTTGAAAAGAACATGTGTGTGTGTGCTGGTGAAAAGGAGGTGTATGTGTGTGTAACAGGATCTCTGGGTCAGTGAGTTGTAAGTGAGAATATAATTTCTATATATGTGATTACTTAAAACAGTTCAAACAATACATGTTCACTAAAATACAGTTTAGAATCATATCTTTTTACTTCATGGCCCGACAAAATTGTGGTTCTATCGGGGCCAACAAACAGGGCTGAGTCGGGCTGAGTATGCTAAACTAGAGAGAGAATCGCTGGCAAGGAGGCTACAACTACAACAAGATGAACATATTTGACCGTGATTTAATTGTAATACACGTTTCAAAATGATGCCGAAGTAACAACATACTGATACCGGTTAGTAAAAACCATGAATTAATGCTTTGGCAAGTTTGCAGACAGACGACAGGTGAAAAACCTTTTAAAATGCGTGTTTTCTAGATGGAGATTGGCTAAGCTAACTCAATATATGCTCCGACCGTCCACACTCACAACAACGGCCTATACAGACATAAATAAAGCAGCGACTGTACTCGCCATGACACAGGCATTCTGTGGTGTGTACTTGTTTAACTTTTGTCGAGTTTCTGAACATATATAAGGAGCTGTGAGCTCTGAGTGCTAACAGCTAACGGCTGTGTTGTTTTTCTGGGGTTCTCATTGAAGATGAAGTCACGGCTCCGCCTACACTGCGTTACTATAGTAACTACCCCAGTTCCTAAACTGTAATGGAAGCGCAGCATGAAGTGAGCCGGCCCTGTTAAGGCCCAACGCGGCCAAGCAGTACCGAGCGTGGCCGAGGCCGACCGTGTGGTGGAAATGCGCCATTAGAGAGTGACACAGTGCAAAGGAGAACAGAGAAGGAACAGGATACAATTAAGACACATTACCACTCCTCCCTAGCACTCTCTGCACTCTCTACGTGTCACCAAGGTGACATTGCTCAGGGCACTTTTTTTTATCAGGTATTGAGGCTCGGGCCTTGAATTTGTACCATTAATCATTTTAGAAGCTGTGATGTCGGCATTAAAAACTTGTATTTTATCCATTACATGACTCAAATGAGCCTTTAATCAAACAAATGATTTCTCTCTGTAATGATTATTTGAAAGGAATCAATTAAAGAAACAGCGTAGTGATGAAATATCAGTTTCTTTATACAGGAGGATGTGAATATAGCAGAGCAGCAGCAATATCCTCTCCTTGCTCAAATATTTCTGTAATGACTAGTTTTCTATTTTCCGCTTGATTTTCTGAGAGAAAATGGCTTTCCTCTTTGATCCATGTCCCTACACTCATATTCACTATCATTTTCTTTTATACACATCTTTATTATGGATTTTTTCAATATCGACATTATTTCTCAGCAAATTCTGTCTCGGAGTGTAACTGTGTATGAGTGTTTAGAGTACTTGTTTAATCTGTGATATGAAGTTATATTAGATGTGCGTTGGAGTGATCTTGGAGCAAAAGAGACAACAGATTCTCAGACTCTGAAAGCCTTTCCTCTCAATGCCAAGCAAAACAGGGATTTTCTCTTTGACCATCTTCTATCCAAAACTCAGATCCGCCTCCACACTTTCATCTATACTAATCAATAGGCAGACAAATATTGAATGTTTGATCCATTCAGCTGCCATACTTTGTACTTTGACTTGAAGTCTCCTCTGCAAAATCTGTCAAGAGAGCACTAGTTTATTCCAGCCTGTCCAGAAAAAACAAGACTGACAAAGTATCTCGCACAACAACAGTGTCTCCATCTTACTTAGGAAAAAGTTTTGTTAGAGGGGCCCCATTACAGTATGCTCATTTTCAGGTTCTATAATTGTATTTTTTCTTATACTACCTCTTTTCACCCTCTGTCTGAAACCAGAGCCCAGTCTGCTCTGATTGGTTAGCTAGCCGGCTCTGTTGTGATTGGTCAACTGTTTAGAGATGTCCCGCTTCTTAGCCTATCACCTACTATGTGTTAGACCACTAGCCAGTGGAAGCGCGACTGTTACATAGTGATGTAACTATGTCGCAGACGTGAACAAAGGACTACAATCGAGGTGTTTCAGGCAGGGGGGTGGGGGGGGGGGGGATGTGTGGGAGAGAAACTTCCTCTGAAGGGATTTTAACCTTTACAGACTATTTACATGCACAAAAACCTATAGAACACACTACAGGAAAGGGACAATCCCAACAAGGCCCCTTTAAAGTTATATAGATTTGGACCAAGCTTCAAATCAGAACAGAGTGAAATAATAGTTAAAACAATATGTATACATACATTGAACGACTGCAAAGCCATTTAGGTTCGAACACAGTAGGAGTCTCTCTCTTTTGCCAGGGGCGCCGGATAGTCCGGAGCCAAATTCCCATCAGTGCGCTCTCCAGCTGAGGCGTCACAAGCTTGATCCTAGCCACAATCATCAGCAGTAATGTCTCATGACCAAGTGTCCTTGAGGGAAGAAAACTGAACCTTAATCTCCTCACTCACTCTAAGTTGAGAGCAGTAGAAGTAGTGTGTGTGATAAAGATAAAAGTGAAGGAGTGTACTGTCCATACTAAGTGTGTGTGGCGTGATCATGGGGGGTGGGTGATGATTGATTAGTGTTTTAATCCATTCCCTCATGCTGTGTTAAAGCCTATGGTGAGACTTGTGTGTGAAGTAAACTGTGATGATGGAAGTGTAAATAGAAAAGACCGCGGCGGCTTGCCAAAATGACCTTAGGAGTATATGTTTTTCCTTTTTATAAAATGCTGTATGTCAGCCAAACTCATAGACTGCTGCAACAGACACACTGCTTTATTGGCTCTTGGATATTACATATCAGAAACATCTTTGGCTTTCTAGAGAATGTGTATGAGCTATTACAAAAGCAGACACTCAAATTCTAGTCAGATGACATGGCATATTTGTTATTTGTAGTCTCTGGTGCAAGGCTGATGCGTTCAGGTCCCTTAGAGTTTTCATCACAGCGTGTGTTTCATTCAGTGAGCAGACACATGGATCACAGTTCAATTAAAGTCCCAAGGTCGTGCGTTTGATGGCGTCACGCATAAAGCCGTCCCCTGGACCTATTTGTCTTTGTTAGAGGCTCATGTGTAATGCTCTGGGATACAAAAGACGAATTGGTCAGATCGTCCTGTCAAGAGTCTCGCTAGACCGTGCCTTCATTTAAATTCGCCCTTCAATCAATTAAATCAATGAAAGGAAACTAATCAGGGAAGGGACACGCAGCGCAGCCGCACGCACGGTTTCACATACATCGAGGGTTACGATGGCTTACAGGATAACGCCCGCTGGAGTGCAATATTATGTGGCCATTCGGCGGTGTCATAGATTCACTAATTAGGGCAGAGGCTGTGTGGATTCAAACAAGTTGTTGGATGTGAATAATTAAGAGCTTCCAGCATGCACTTCTTCCCTCTGATGTGTGTTTTCCCCTTTGAAGAAAGTCCCCACTATGTCAGATCACCACCGCCCCCCCACCCCCCTCCGCACCCCACCCACCAACAAAAAAAGCCAGTTATATCTGCCTCTTGTTAAAATATTAATCTGCCGTGAGTCACCATGGTGAGTCCTCAGTGAAATGATGTATGTGCCCTTATTAGGGCAAGTACACTGCATAGGCGGTATTTATATTTACCACCTCTCTGTGGCTCTGGGAGTTAAAAGAATATTCTTTTACATAAAATCTACTTCAGCTTTGGGTTTTCAGGGACCCACTGAAGCGGGTCTGTACTAAAGCAAGGAAGTGTAAGGGTGTGTCCGCTGGATTGATTGTTAATAGACTGCCTTTGTGCTGCCTTCATTCCCTGACCTGTGTATTTAAATCACATCATGTCTGGTCTTCACTCAAAAAACATTAATAAAACTCTTTTCGACCTTCATTCCTTAACTTTTAAAAAACATATTAGTCTTGAAGGCTATATTTATTTATACTCGACTGAAAGGATCTACAACACAAATAAAAAGTCATACTAGTAATGTATTTGTTAATAATAAAATAATATTGAAGTTGAGTAAAAGTGATAATGAAAGTGTACTGAAACACAATTGTTGTATTTATAAGATAACTTTGAATGCACTTAATATATTGTATATGTGTGTAAATAGTAGTATTTATAGTAGTATAACTTATAATGAATAAACTGTCTAATTGGTTTATGAAATGGCATTAAGAAGGCAAATAACAGTCACTGGACAAACTAAGTGAAATATACATCTTAATATCATCTTGCATATTAAGTCAAATAAGGAAAACTAATTTTATTTTAGTCATTTCATAGAAATTAATCCCACAGTAAATTAAAGAAGTGAAATGAACTCAGATTCAAAGATTAATGGTATTAATTAAAACATGCGTTTGTTTCCTGTCTTTTATTAAAGAGAATTATGTCAAATATGTATCCACGTTAATTACAAAGTATTTAAATATAAAGCTAGAACTACGAGGTGGATGGCCTAGTTTAATATAAAGAGTGGGAGCAGAGGGAAAGCAATAGTTACAGCTCATAACATCGTAATAACAACTTGTCTTTTCACGTGTCTGTTTGTGTACAGATCAAACACAGAAAGTGAATTACTGTAGGTGGGCAGAGTTTTCTCATGTACTGTAGCTCGCGGGTAGTAGTATTTATTTGATATTTAAAAACATGTGTATTGTATGTTGAATGTGTGTATTTCTTCTTACATTTTTGCCAGGTGTGTCTTGAAAACAAGTTGCTACCAGTGTCAAACATCGACATGCTTCCACTCAACCTGCAAATCACTGGCTTTGTTTCACAGGTATCCTTTACAAAGGCAGCGGGGAGAATCAGTTCATCTCGCTCCAGCCCCCGGTGATCTCCACCGTCATGGGGAACGGGCGGCGCAGGAGCATCTCGTGCCCCAGCTGTAACGGACAGGCTCAGGGCAACAAGCTGCTGGCGCCCGTGGCTCTGGCGTGGGGCATCGATGGAAGTCTGTACGTCGGAGACTTCAACTACATCCGACGCATCTACCCATCGGGAAATGTCACAAGTATCATGGAGCTCAGGTAAGGCCTCATTAATCAGAGCTGGTTTGGGACTATTACCTGTTGACACTTTACCTATGTATTATGAAGAAATTGGTTTAACATCAAGATGAAAAGACAAAAGATGACGCTTAATTAGAGGGTTTTCTGTTATAACATTATAGTGATTTTATACGCGTTATATTGCCTTTTTTCCCCACTGTGTTCAACATACTGTAGCTGACCCCTAGAAATGTTCAAATATGGACAGTTGAAATTTTCTGATCCCACTTTACATTTTTACATTCAGCCTCAAGTGCTGAGCGGAAACTAAAATGGCATGGTGAACAGACTTTCAGTCATACACATCTCCCCTCTACCCATTTAAATCCTTTCTCAATCCGTCTCCATAATTAGGAAAGACATCCTGTCTTCAGCGTGTAATTTGGATGATTTACGCCCTTATGCCAAGTTGGCTTCTCTCAGCAATGACTCTGATTCGACCAGTTGGCTTATTTAAAAGTGGCAGATGTTGATTAAATGCAAACCTTTTAAGGCTTATAAGTCATTTCTGTGACAAGTAAAACTGTCTTGATTTGGCAAATAGTAACCTCAAATGAGATGTAAAAGTATCCTTTTAAGAATAACCAATTATATTGTCTTAATTCTTCCTCTTCTTTTCCTGCTCCCTCTGTACCCTGTCATAGAAATAAAGACTTTAGACACAGGTAGGTGTTTTATCTTGGTGCATGCTGCTTTAGTATTCTTCAAACATCACCATCTGTATCATCGTCTTTATAAGAACATGGATAACTCTCTCTTTTACAGTCGCCTTTAGCACCAGTGATTACCATGTGTAATTATAACAAAGCAATTAAGCTTGATTACATCTAGACAACAGGAAGAGCGCTGCGTTGGGAATTGTGCGATATGACTAAATTGCACACATTGCAACCCTTTACATATTTAAAGTATTTATAGGTATACATATGACAAAAAGAGTTCATATACAATTAACAGCTTGCCTGATGCCATCCAATAGAATATCTCTGCAATAAACAGTAGCATTGTGGAATACTTAATTACATTAACTGTGATGGTGTTTGGCTGATGCTGTTATCCAGAGGGGCTTACACAACTGCTTTGTATTCATGGTTAAGACAACAGCCTCAGATCAAGTGAACATGCACATTGGTGGCAATTAGGTGGTCCCGGTGATTAACATGAGCGCGGGGCCAGAGGTGCACGCAGTGAACTGGAGTCACTCTGCCTAGCTGGCTGCCATGGCAGGTAGTCTCTGGTGTGACAGCGCTGTATGTCATATGAACATGTGACTTTGTTATGAATTTAAAATCAAAACTCAAATGCCTGCAGCAGATTTCATTTCAATCTGCTCTGATCAGATGCAGTCAAGTTTTGATCAATGCCTCTCTGTGATAGTCTTTGTAATGTCTATTTGACCACCAGAGAAGATGAATACATCTATGATTGCATCACAGTACAACATGACTCATCAGTGACCAGAATAACTTGTTTTTGGTTTGCTCCAGCCTCCAGTCATTTGCATAACTCTGATAATGTAGGACAGATGAACACAATTTCCCAGGTCATCTTAAAGGGGCCTTATTGTGCTTTACTGGGTTTTCCCTTTCCTATAGTTTGTTATATTTTAACGCATATTTAAGTTTAGTGAATGGTCTGCAATGACTAAAATCCCAAAGTTCCCTCTCTCACAAAACCAACCCGAAAAATGTTCCTCTGTGACGCAACCTATCGCTACCATACATTCATCTAAACATCAGAAGCTTCACAAAGGAGATATTCATTGCAGGGCTGTTATAGTGGACCACATAACGTCATCCAGGTGTTTTATTTATCGTGTCCACCCACTGCTGGTTGACTGTAAAAGAAAGGGTTACTAATGTACATCTCTCTGAATTCTTAATCAGAACTTGATGGCCACCACGTATTTGGGGCATTTACTTTGACTCATAATAGCTGTCAAGTTTTTATGACCCCATCTTCATCATTTTATTAAGATGTTTCATTGCCACATTTATTTTGCCATTGCATCTTACCACATCCAAAGCCAACCGGTATTGACTGAAGTACCATTAAGCTGGAGTATAACGAGAACAGCCATGTTTACGACTGCACTGTAAAGCCGGCTACTTTTCATGTTAACTGCCTCTGTTTTTAGCTCTTTAATGACACTTAAGCACCTGCTCTGTATCAACTCTGACTTAATAGAAAAGGTTAATGCCGTAGTTTTCCGTGTTGTTCATTTGTTTACAAACAATAATTGCAAGGATTTCTTTTAAACCCCAAACATCATTCACTCGTGTGTTTTCAAATCTTTTGATTCCTAATCCTTGACACATTTGCTCTATGATTCAAGGATCCATTATGAGACGGTAAAACAAATGCAAATGAGCAGAAACAGAAGCGATTACATTAGTTGTTGCTCTTTGTAAATGTAAGGCAGTCATTTCTGTCATTTCCAAAGGCTTTTGAGTGATAAAATAATCAAATATCTTGCACACAAGTTTTAATTCTCCGTTGTAACTGGTCCTGTTACATTTGTTTGACTTCCATCTTGTCAAACTTCTCTGTCTCACATTCTGTCTTTTATATATTTTTTATTCACAAAGCCTTTTAGTCTCTCTTTCTGCTGTGAACATTATTCAGAGTGTTTCATTAAAACTAGACATTCATTTCCTCTTCAGTTCATTATCCACATGCATAATAATGTTGCTATTAATTTTAAGTTGATAATAAGGGTTATGCATTAAGCACCAAAACTACTGAAGTTACATGTAATTAGCTATTTATGGTGTATTTAAGGAAATATATGTAATAGCTAGTACATCATTATATTCGTTTTTTCAATGCAGTTTAATATTCTGATGAAACTTTTCGTATTACATTATATATACAACAATGTATGCTAGTCTGCAGGACTTTGAAAAACCCCTTAAACGTTCTGCGAGCTTATTCCAAAGTGTATATCTATCAAAAGATCTAGTGAAGACAATTTTAGTGCCCTGGGAATGTATAATGGAATCAATACAAGTTTAATTCAGAGGAAAATCAGGCTACGTTTCATCAAATGGGGTTTACGGGTTGTTTCAAGTGTCTTACGGAGAGTATTGATTGAGATCACATTCGGGGTAAATTGAAAGAATTGTAAATGCATTGTAAGAAAAGGGCCTTGAAGTGAGAAGTCTGGCACAGTATATTGTTGATAACTGAGGTATTGTTTTGAATGCAGTAACAACCCGGCACACCGCTATTACCTGGCAACGGATCCAGTCAGTGGCCAGCTGTTCGTGTCAGACACAAACTCCCGGAGGATCTACAGACCCAAAATCTTAACTGGGACCAAGGAACTGCAGGCGAATGCAGAGGTGGTGGCAGGAACAGGAGAGCACTGCCTGCCTTTTGATGAGAACCACTGTGGAGACGGAGGAAAAGCTCCAGAGGCCTTCCTCACCGGACCCAAAGGTATCATTTAAAACTAATGAAGACGTTGAACTCAAATGGAGGGGGTGGGCCACAGTGATGGGCTTCTCAATCAGCAATGGCAACTGCACAATTTGGATTTATGTGAGCCATTGGGGACTGTGCCAAGCCTGGGCCAACTGATTGATTTTAATGGATGATTTTTAATTGTGGGTTATGTGTTGAGGTAGAAGTAAGCAGAAGGCCTTGTGAATTATTACTGCCTGTGAAGAAGTTAGTGTTGTTTTAACCTCCAGAATTATAATGCTTAATTTATTTTTAGCATATTCTTGTAAATATTCTTTAAAGTTTACTCTTGAAGGTTATTAACTTTAACAGCTTCTGTGAAAGTAAAGCCTTCTCCAGTCCTTTAAAGCTTAAAGTAACAGCTATTCACATGTATTACCCGCTGTGCACAACCTGTCGTCCACATTCACATGGTCATTTGTGCCATTTATGCTTGGATTGCTCACTTTTCCATAATTTCTTCTGGATGAAAGGCCGAGATGAATTGTTTTTGCGCTAGTTGTTGCCCGCTCTGAATGCCAACTCCAATAGCTCGGCTTCGGCTGGGTGATAGAGTCTTGAGTGAAGGCAATCTGAGAGCAACTCTAATGATGGAGTGGGTGGAAGCCGAGACCATAGAAGAAACAGCAGATGGCTACTTTTTCTTTTTTTCTCCTCTCAGACATTTGGTGAACTTTACTCAAATGTGACACTTTTCATCTGTCTGCGAATCTCAGACTGTCAAATGGCCGGCTCCCAAGGATTCACCGTGGGCTCCCTCAACTCGTAAATGTTTTATCAGAAAGCAATCTTGTGCAGACCTAGCCACAGGTCAAACCAAACCACTCACCTTCCATATAAGCTTTTAAAGACTTCATTGAAAAATAAATCATACTCGTGGGGTAAAACTTGAAGTTACTCAAGCCATTTTAAATCCTCTGGAAGCAAATGTGTTTCTGAAATCAGCGGCTTTCATTCTTTACAATCAAAACCCAAAGCCAAGGCGTGTTAAAAACAACATGGGGAATGAAAAATGGTTTCTCTGCATGTTAGGGATTATTCAATTCCCATAGGTGCTGTCTCTATTACAGCGATGCAGAGAGCGATGTGGAGGCTGGCGTCGCTCCTTCAAATATTTCCCCCATTTTTGGACGCCCGTTATTGCAACTCCACACTGGCTCTACTGCAACGTACAACTCTGAGCCTACACTTAATCACTAAGACAATTTAATCCACAGTTGTCACCATGGCAACTGCCTGTCTTTCACCCCTTTCATCTAAAATTGGCCGAAGCTGTCATTTCCGCTCCCTCGCTCTTCATTTCTCAAATGGTGTGCAGATTGTTGATGATTGCCCATGTCAAAAAAATCGCCCGAACGCACCACTCATTGACACCCCCACTTCCCGAGGTCCTTTTTTAGAGAGGAGGGTTACAAGACGCGGCAAGTGCATATATATACCGTATGAATACAGCCTTTCCCACTTCTGCCTGAGAAATTATTTAATACTAGAAAAGCAGCCAGTGAATTATTGATGGATGTGCTTTTTGCAGTGACCTGAATAATGGGAAGGCAAGCTTGACACATGTATCCATCGTGTACCGTCCACTGAGTCATGCAAGCAGAGATGTCGCAGATCTACCATGTTTTCCCGTTATCACATATTTTGTTTTCCTCCTTCCTTCCTCTTTTCTCCTTCCTCCCCCCTCTAACCTGATGTCAACAGGCATCGCTGTGGGCAAGAACGGCCTGATATATTTTGTGGATGGCACCACGATCAGAAAGGTGGACCAGAACGGCATCATCTCCACTTTCCTCGGCTCAAACGACCTGACATCGGCTCGACCTCTGACCTGTGACAACAGCATGGATATCAATCAGGTGACTTAGACACACATGTGGCAGACAGATGTGCACTGCGCCTCACGCAGAACATGTCACAGCGCCACCCTAAGCCCCCACCTCTCCTATAACCCACTTTTAGTTTGCTCACCCATGACTCATCATTCATATGCAGTGTTATATAACGGAATATATATATTACCTCTGCAGTATAACGAACCTTTTCATGAACGCTAATATTTTTAGGCTTCTGGTTTTTTATGAAAGACATGCAGGGGCTTTTTTAAATGTACCTATCCGTCTATATTATTATTAACAGTTTATACACAACCAGGTAGAAGAAGTATTTTGCATGCCGCTCTCTCCGTCTCATACCTTCTGCAATTACATTTGAAATTGCAAAAACTGCTTTCTTTCCGGGAATTTAAATCATTGCTGCAGTATTCACTCTCTTCTGGCTGCTACTTGGGAGAATATTACAATCTGGATGTTTTAAGTGTAATACATTTACTGTTTGACAGCATAATGTCATTATTTCTTATTTATAGAGATGTTTAGATGGTTAGATTGCCTTCAGGTTGATTTTAAAGTGCCTCTTCAGATTGTTATCTTTTAAATGATGCTTATTGGCAATTTTATTTATGGTTTTGTAATCCAATTTCTGTTACATTCTGATCTAGTGAGATACATTCTGTTATCTACTTAATGATGTTAGCTTGTGACTTTGTTATTGCTAACTCTCTTGGTCAGTACACTTAACAAAAAAGAAAGAAAATTGAAATCTTAAAGTGGAATTCTTTGTTGAATAAACGTTAACTATAAGAGATCTTATCCAGAGAAACATACAGTGGCATTAGTGGAATAAGCTCACATGAACATTACAAGGTGCTTTTCGCTCTGAACTCAACAAGAGGAGAGCATTTTCTCTGAAAGTACAGGAGGGAAATGTGTGCAAGGAGGGAAATGTGATTCATGAAGGAAGTTGAGACATGAAATGTTTATTGAGAAGATGGGTTTTCTGGTCACGGCAGATGATATGGAGGGAAGAATAATTACTCATTTTGGGGGCCTTGTTTTGATGTGTCTGGGGCTGAATTAGTGTTCTACTAGAAATTCTCAAGAGTGAGGACACTTACACCATACATGATAATGAAGCAGTGAGGTAGCGAGCACGCGGCACATAAAACCTTTTCTACAGACGGCCGGCTTTGTCCCACAGAATTGACTGACTCCTTGTGAATGAGGGGACATAAAAGCCGAGCCCTGGCCTTACACAAAAGGTTAGGACATTACAATAGCCTTGCACTTATTCCAAAGAAGTGCACCTTCCTGCTCCCTTAAACATTCATATCTCCCCTCATTACATTTTTTTAGATTTGAGATCTGACTTAAGATGAATAATGAAGGAAAATAAAAACCAAAAAAGGCTTTTATCATATTCAGATTGAAGTGTTCACAGCATGTTCTATTTCCTGCTTCTGCAGAAAGTCAAGGTGTACTGGCTGTTGAAAAATAAATTGTCTGCGTATTTCGTTCTCTTACATTTGTGAGCCAGACATAACAGTGTTTTTTAGTTTGTTTTGTAACTAACTAATTTACATTTTAATTAGATTTCTGATGATCAGCATACCAAACGAAAAAGAAAGTATCTAACTACAAACAAAACATTTGTGGTTGGGGAGGACTGTAACAGTGAAAACCAAATGACCCCGATAGCAGATGTCATCAAATGTTCTTGTGTCTTATTCAGAGGATATATAATAATAGAAATGCATTTACATGTTCTGAGAAAAAGTAATTATTTTTCACAGCATAGAATTTATTTTTTATGTAAACAGACGATAAAGAAATCTTTGTTTGTATGTGCATGTGTGGGTGCACATAGCGGGGAGAACATAAGAGAACATGAAGACAAAGGATTAAGCTTGTCTCTTTTAGCTAATTAACCAAGTCATTTGGTGAGAGCCAATAAAGACATGGTTTTGGCGAGACCGTGTGATCCTCAGGCGTCTCAGGCAGAGAATTGGCTCAGTGCAGTTTGACTGGTGGCAGCCTTAGAGGCAGTGTGTTTAACTATTAATCACCCTGCGGATAGGCGCAATTCAGGAGCGTTTTGACAGCTTTAATGACAGTTCTGTATTTAAAGGCCAGGCCAGTCATTTGTGCTGTTACAAATAAGCTTTTCATTCACTGACACATTTATGACAAGCACATTGTAATAGTTGGCCAGGGTTAAAGCTTTGAATTGTTATTTTTTCCAAGATGTGGTTAATACTGCTTTGATTATTGTGGGAGAAATATTGTATCACTTAATTTTGATTTAATTTGATACACATAATTGATCACTTAATGGGGTGCTCCCTATTCAGGCTGCAGCGTCACTTAGTATGCACGCTCAGGGTTATTTTGGCAGCTAACCATAGCCACACAGGGCATAACCCCCCTGGAATTTCACATAGTTTTACATCCCAGTTACAGCATGATAACAAGTGAAATGTTTAGAAGGGAGAAAGGCATAATGGAAAATTATCTTAACAGTCACTGTTGCCAGAATTATCCTCTAAACTCATGCATCAGCAGCGCTAGCACAAGAAGATAAGCGCTAATCTCTTATCCTAAAGGTAAAAGATATATTATGAATATGTTCCTTCAGGCCAATTGAAATCATACATATATGTAAGAATAACCAGTATTGTTTAAAGAGACACTACTCTGAAAAATAAAGTGTAACATTTAATTCCTGCACCATCCAAATGTCCAAGTTAAATTGAGAATATTTGACAAAAGTCATATTTGATATGACTGTGGTGGAGAGGAGGACAGGCTGTTGTCCATCATGGATAACCCCACCCATCCTCTCCGCCTGCAGCTGGACAGTCAGCGGAGCTCCTTCTCCAACAGACTGCTGCAGCTCCGCTGTCACAGGGACCGATACAGGAAAACATTCCTGACCACTGCAATAACACTGTACAATAAATCACCTCTGGCTGGAAGAGAACTCTCTGCTCCATAGTTTCTCTTGGAATAAAACCGCGTTGTACATTTTACACATATATAATCTGTTCAATATTTAATATGAATATTCCATATGTCATATATTTATGTATATACTGTATATATTTGTATATATAATATCTTGTCAAATCCAACATGTATATTTTCTATTTTTCTTTATTTTCTTGTTTATTTCTTGTTTTATTGTAAAATGCTGCTGCAACATTTTCCCAAATTGGGATCAATAAAGTACCATCTTATCTTATCTTATCTTATCTTAAATACATTATCTTTCTGTGGCTAGTGACACAGTTTGTCTTTTTACAGCTTGTGTCACATCTTGCGTCACATCTTGCGTCACATCTTGTGTACTTATGTCAGCCTATTTATGACTATAATTAAGATGTATTCATGCCCTTCTGAAATCTAAATCGATTAGACTCTGTTAAATCCTCATTATACCTTTTTTAAACTGCTGATCTTTAGTCAATCCCACCATGACCATTTAGAAAGTGCTATTTTGTTTATGTGTATGTAAATCACTATTGATTCGGAAAGGGACTAAAATGGATATTTTTTTTTTATGAATGATAATTACTTGAATGCAGCTATTACCTTTCATTTTAAATGTATAATTTGGATATTTCAGGTCATTCTGGAGTGGCCCACAGACCTTGCTGTCAGCCCCATGGACAACTCTCTGTACATCCTGGACAACAACATTGTGCTGCGCATCACGGAGAACGGCCAAGTGAGCATCGCAGCTGGCCGACCCCTCCACTGCCCGCTGGCTGGCATGGAGCGCGGCGTGGCCGGTGGTCAAAGGGCGCAGTTAACCCCCATCGAATCTGCTGTTGCCATCGCCATATCTTACCATGGAGCCATCTACATAGCGGAGACGGATGAGAGGAAGATGAGCAGGATCCGAAAGGTTTCTGTGGATGGTGAGATAACGCATTTGGCCGGATCTCTCTCTGACTGCGATTGCAAGAACGATGCCAACTGTGACTGTTACCAGACAGGGGACGGCTATGCCAAAGATGCGAGGCTTAATGCTCCATCTTCTTTAGTGGCAGCTCCAGATGGAACACTCTACGTGGCGGACCTGGGCAACATCCGCATCCGGGCCATCACTAAAAATGGGCCAACTCCCAGTGCCAATACATTTGAGGTGGCTTCGCCTGATGCCCAGGAGCTGTATGTGTTTGACAGTAACGGCACTCACCAGCACACTGCTAGCCTGCTCACTGGTGACTTGAAATTCACGTTCAGCTACAGCACAGAGAACGATATTACAGCTGTGACGGACAGCAGTGGAAACACTCTGAGGATCCGCAGAGATCCTAACCGCACACCAGTTCGTATCGTCGCCCCTGATAACCAGGTGATCTGGCTAACCATGGGCACTAATGGTGGATTGAAAACACTCACAGCACAGGCCCAGGAGCTGGTGCTTCTCACCTACCATGGTAACAACGGCCTGCTGGCCACAAAGACATCAGAGATTGGATGGACGACTTTCTACGAGTAAGTTCAATGGAGATTGGCAAGAACATTGTTAGAAAATCTTAACATCATTTGCTAAAGTCACGCAGATTTAGATTGTAATACATTCAGGCTTTCTGCATCTGGGACCTGCACATTCAAACACCCCCCCACTGTGCATGCTAATACAGTTTATGTAAAACAAATGCAGTCTGCAATCTGGCAAATGATATTATGTTTAGAAAATAAAAAAAGTATTCCCTGCTCATGGATGACAGGGCAGTATTAACAGCAGTTTATTAAACCTTTGTTTGGACTTGTCACCCACTAATTAACTTCGACACTAATATTTAAGTTCATTTTTCTAATTTAAAACTAACACTTCAATTCATCAGGCACAAATACAAAGTGTTGTCTATAATTTGTAAACAGCCTTACCTGCAAACTGCTTCAGGGTAGACATTTAATTAATACCTAGTTATAAATATGTCTCAGAAATAGCCTTATCAGACTTTAAAAAGTAATCATCAAAAATGATGTGTATATAAATAATGTTGCAACAAAGCATTTGTTACAATAGGTTGAAAAAGTAAAAGTAACATTTAGCGAAATGACTAGTTCATGATTATATCTTGTTATAATAATCCACCTGGCCTCTCATAAAGATCATAAATACACAGTATATGTTGGTAAAATGGCCTCTCAGTGATTCTTCTCCCTTGTCATGTCACATTATGCCATGAATAATATCCCCACTCTAACTAAAAAAGCAGAGCGTTCAGGAGACATTAAAATGACACATCAATCATCTGAAATAATTGAAATCATTGTGTGAGCGTTCTTTTAAATATAAAACGGACGGCTGGCGAGACGGGTCACTCTCACACATCAAATAGTTGTATTGTGCCTTAGGTTGATACAGACAGCCCTTCTCTTATGAAATTGAGTTTTTAAAAAAAAGTAAATATGACAGTTGATAGTCTTACTCAAAGAACTGATAATTAATTGCCCTGAGAGCCATCACATATCAATGCTTTGTCACTTTCCTTTCTTTTCATCAAAAAGCTATGACAGCGAAGGACGGCTAATGAATGTGACGTTCCCCACTGGGATGGTGAACAACTTGTACACGGACATATTCAGCGCTCTGACGGTGGACATCGAGAGCTCCATGACAGACGAGGAAATCAGCATCACCACCAACACCTCCACCATCCGTGCCTTCTACACTCTGGCTCAGGGTAAGGGCGCGGCACTTCTTCCAGGCTCAGGCGGCTATTTTGTAAGATGTTATTTTTCATTGTTCCAGGGGTCGCCGGGGCAATGTTGAGTAAGCTTAAGTCGTGTATCATTACAGCTCACAGGGTCTGACAGACGACAGTGTAAATGATTACTCTCTCAGTGTGTGGGTTTGACACGGAGACACAGCAACCTTGTTTCTAAATGGTTTCTGCTCCCTGCCGGACCCAGATGGTCAAGTTACTACCCTTCATTCATGTTTGTTCTTTTATCTGAAAATGAAAATCAAGTCAGATGTTATTTATATTGCACAATATCACTAATTACACTTTTGTCTCAGGAGGCCTTTACAATGTGCACAGCATATGAGACCCTTCGTCCTTAGACCCTCGCAGCGTTCAAGGAAAAACTCCCAAAAAAGCCAAATTAATTGGGAGAACAATGGAAATACCTGGGGAGAGCAACAGAGGAGCGATCCCTCTCCTAGGATGGACACATGTTGTGTGTATTAATAAAACAAAACAATAGTCAAATAGATAAAGACAATCTGTATGATACAAAATGAACATGTGAACATAAAAGAAAATGCATGCAGGTGTTTTTGCTATGGAAGTTAGGCAGGAGCACGGCAACAGCTTCAGCCACAACTCATGATCAGACAGGAAACATTTCTGAAATACAATACTAAGAATTTAAAGCATGATTAACTACAGCCAATAGTTACATGAGACACTCAATAACATCCGTTCGTCTGTGTAATTGCTCGTTCCTCTGTTCTAAGTGGCCTTTTTTGTTTCCCATCAATAGACCAATGTAGAAGCAGCTATCAAGTGGGCTTTGACAACTCGCTGAGGATTACCTATGCCAATGGGATGGACACCCACTACCAGACAGAGCCCCACATCCTGGCCGGCGCTGCCAACCCCACCGTAGCCAGGCGCAACATGAGCCTGCCAGGGGAGAGTGGGCAGAACTTGGTGGAATGGCGCTTCCGCAAAGAACAAGCCAGAGGCAAAGTTATCGTGTTTGGACGCAAGCTTAGGGTATGTTTGATCTCTTGGGCACATGCAAATTACAAACAGGCCCTGAATACAAGAAGTGGTAATTTCCCATGGCTTAGCTTACCTCCAGTAAGCTTATGGCAGTGACACTGTTAGATATAAAAAGGAGTTGCACAAAAAGTAGATCACACTGTCCAAAAATGGGTATTTTATGGGTTCTTATTTTAACAATTTCAAATGAATATAACGATCAATTATTTCTGCCATTAAGATGTATTGCTCTCATAATATTTAGTTCCTGATATAGAGGGTTATCAATATTCTTGTACTGAAAATAAGTCTCTTTTTCCCCCCTTCTTAGAGTCTGACACTCAGATTTATGAACACTGTACTTCATGAACTTTACTTGGGTGGTTACTTTGCCTCTGAGTAATTTTGTCACTAAATTTAGAAGGTTGTGATTTAAGTGCACCTGAATAATCACCAGAGTGTCTCTGTTAAATGAGCCTTGGGAGGGAGGTGTTAATCTCTGTGACAACTCTAGTGAAAATGATGTGAATAGGATTTAAAGAGCCATCCAGACCAAAAGCAGTGTTATAAAAACTGAGAATTTCAGAGGATGAATGCACGTTCATTGTATCCCTTTATTTCTTTTTAGTCTTATCTGTAAGTCAAAAGTTATGATTATTAATGGTAGTCGTTTTTTTGCGCGCCAACTAACACGCTGGTAAATCAAATCCATCCCACAGGTGAACGGACGGAACATTCTTTCTGTCGATTACGATCGCACCCTGAGGACGGAGAAGATTTACGATGACCACAGGAAATTCCTCTTAAAGATTATATACGACACAGCAGGTCACCCGGTGCTGTGGGTGCCCAGCAGTAAGCTACTGCCGGTTAATGTGAGCCGCACCAGCAGTGGGCAAATCAGCGCCCTGCAAAGAGGTCCCACCACGGAAAGACTGGAGTATGATAGCCAGGGCCGCCTGATATCCAGGGTGTTTGCTGATGGGAAAATATGGAGTTACACCTACCTGGAGCAGGTGAGAAAATAACATGACCAGAGGAGGCAATATGTAAGATATACTGTGCAGCAGGCTAGTCATCATCGCTACAGGGTGAATAAAAACCCTGATGTGTAGCAGAGGTCACCCTGAAGAGGCCTATTTTGCAATAATCACCAGCTCCATGAACATAATTCTGCTTCTTACAGAGGCACTTAGCATACATAGTAATAATTCTACACTAACTGCACATTTATGAGCATCATTTATAAGCTTTAGATATAAAAATGTTCACAGGGATTGCATCCCTTTGCTATACCTCAACCTCTACACAGTATGTATAGTATAGTTTGTCAGAGGAAGCCAAGGAAATGAGGCTCCACATGGTTAGAACAGCAGGGCTGATTACATCTCTGCACTAATAACATATTTCTTGTGTGGTGGGTTGCACTGAGTGGCAGTATCCTCTGGCAGCAGGCAATAGTTTACAGTACACGTGTAATAGATGAGTGTACTCTTTAAATGACGATGAGCAAAGCTGGAGACAGACTTTAAGACTAAGTTGTATACAGGTGCGATGAATTGTCCATCTTGTCCTGTTAGTGATAGCATGGTGTCCTGGTTTTTACTGCAAAAGTAGCTTTGTGCTAACACTGGTACAATAAATCAAAGGGTTACATTTATTTTTGTCATGTTGTTCTTTCCCTTGCAATTACAATTAATTGAACTCAAATTGAATGGCAAAAAAAGAGCGGACATTTAATACCTAGTTATTGCTTCCACTTTTTTCAAATCTTAGAGATGTGTAAACATTGGAACAACACACTGCAATTATATGAGATCCTGCAAGGGGACCATTTTCATTTTCAAATATATTTCCTCCTTTCTGACTGTCACATCAAAACTCAGGAAATATTTGGGCAAATAGTTGCTTTTTTGCACTTTATTTTTAGGTTTCAGGTCTGCACTAAGCATTACAGTATTCTTTGGAAAATATAGGATGCTTCTCTGCTAAATAACAGAGACACGCTGAGGCTAAATTATTTACACAGTGAGTATATAATAGCACACATACAGGACATTAGGCAAAAACCAAAATTGACAAATGTTTCAATATATGCATTTTGCAAATACATCACACTATCCCTCCCACTAAAATGTCCTTATTCACTATCCTTGTTTACTATCCTTGTTTACTATCCTTGTTTTAAGCGTTCTATTTTGTTATGGTTGTACTGGTATGGTATGCACAGCTACAAAAACATGCAGAGATTTCCTGAGCCGCTCCTGTTTGCTTCCCTTCGTTGCGTGACCTGCAGAGCCCATGTCAACACTCTGACATAAGGAACACAGAGAGCTCAGGGAGCACAGGGAACCTCTGTCACAACGGATGACTGGGCAGGGCTTTTTAACAGAAATAGTGGCAAAGCTTTTGATGGAAGATCACACTGCACACTGCATATACTGTTCATTAATTTAAATAGTCTGTGTGGGTATGTTACATTGCTCATGTCACATACATGTTAATGTAGACTACTGGATCATCATTGACAGTTTACAATATCTTAAAAAACAAACCATCTTGTACAGCAGCATCCTTAGTAAATGTATTTGACGGAAAATGTAATGTAATGTTAGTACTTGTGATCACTAAAGGATTCAACAGATTAGAAAATGGAGAGCACAAATATAACATATAAGAAAAAGCAGAAAACCCACTAGGCTTGTTTAAAACCTCCACCTAAATAGTTTCTCTGTTTTATAGAAAACACAGGTCAATATACACAAATTAATATAAATTCAACATTCATGTTTAATTATGCAAACATATAAAAAACCAGCAATAAAATAGCAAATGTAAAAAAAAAGAAAATTGTTGAAAGTGTATGAAAAAGCAGTTATAAAACAGCAGATAAATGCTATTTTAGGCTCTTTTATTTTAAGCATTGAATAAAGGCACTCTATTTCATAATGTGTGAAAAGCCATTCCATCATTTTGAAACCCTTAATCAGATGGGAACTTGACTTCTGCGACCTCTGTGAATTGGTGCTTGCTGTCTCAAAGAGTAAGAGTTAACACTACCTAGTGCATTTTTCATATACCCGGTTTCTCCTATTCACAAAGAGGATATTTCTGCACTTGTCTGAGGGATTAATAATTTATTATTTATAGATATTGTGCAACCCAAGATAACACCAGCTATTTTGTATCTCTTTCCCCTTTAGTCCATGGTTCTCCTGCTCCACAGTCAGCGGCAGTACATATTTGATTTCGACTCTCTGGACCGGCTTTCTGCTGTCACGATGCCAAGCGTAGCACGCTACACCATGCAGACCATCCGTTCAGTGGGCTACTACAGGAACCTTTATCACCCCCCGGAGAGCAACGCCTCAGTGGCTGTGGACTACAGCGAAGACGGCCTTCTAATGAGGATAGCTCACCTCGGCACAGGCCGCAGGATCCTGTACAGATACAGGAGGCAGAACAAACTGTCAGAGATCCTGTACGACAGCACCAGGGTCAGCTTCACCTACGATGAAACGGCAGGAGTGCTGAAGACCGTCAACCTGCAGAACGAGGGATTCATCTGCTCCATCCGTTATCGACAAGTGGGTCCCCTGGTGGACCGGCAGATTTTCCGCTTCAGTGAGGATGGCATGGTCAATGCCCGCTTCGACTACACCTACGACAGCAGCCTGCGAGTCACAAGCGTGCAAGGTGTCATCAACGAAACACCATTACCCATCGATCTGTACCAGTTTGATGATATCTCGGGGAAAGTTGAGCAGTTTGGGAAGTTTGGGGTGATTTACTATGATATAAATCAGATCATATCCACTGCAGTCATGACCTACACCAAGCACTTCGATGCACATGGTCGCATCAAGGAGATCCAGTACGAGATATTCCGCTCCCTCATGTACTGGATCACTTTCCAGTATGACGATGTTGGGCGAGTCATCAAGCGAGAGATCAAGATCGGCCCCTTCGCCAACACCACCAAGTACAGCTATGAGTATGATGTTGACGGCCAGCTGCAGACTGTGTACCTGAACGAGAAAGTGATGTGGCGCTACACGTATGACCTTAATGGGAATCTGCATCTGCTGAACGCAGGAAACAGTGCCAGGCTTCTTCCTCTGCGCTACGACTTGAGAGACCGAATCACCCGCCTGGGAGATATCCAGTACAGAATGGATGAAGATGGTTTCCTCCGTCAGAGAGGGGCAGAGATCTTTGAGTACAACTCCAAAGGACTCTTGGTGCGGGTCTACAGTAAGAGCAGCGGCTGGACCATTCAGTACCGCTACGATGGACTGGGGCGCAGAGTGTCCACCAAGTCAAGCCTAGGCCAACACCTGCAGTACTTCTACGCAGACCTGAGTTACCCAGCCAGGATTACACATGTATACAACCACTCCAGCTCAGAGATCACGTCGCTCTACTACGACCTTCAAGGCCACCTGTTCGCTATGGAGATCAGCAGCGGGGAGGAGTTCTACATCGCCTGTGATAACACCGGCACTCCTCTGGCTGTCTTCACCAGCAACGGCCTCCTGGTCAAACAGCTGCAGTACACGGCGTACGGTGAGGTCTACTTCGACTCAAACCCAGAATTCCAGCTTGTGCTCGGGTTTCACGGAGGTCTGTACGAACCCCTGACCAAACTGCTGCACTTCGGGGAGCAGGATTATGACATTATGTCTGGCAGATGGACACTTCCGGATATCTCTACTTTGCAAAAGATGAGCAAAGAACCTGCTCCTTTTAATCTCTACATGTTTAGAAATAACAACCCAATCAGCAAAGTCCATGAACTGAGAGAGTATGTTGCAGGTAAGATATATGCTTTGGTGATGACTATAAGAGCTGCAAATAATGATTTTATTTTTCCACGAATATTTGTATCAAATAAAAGACCATAATAACTTATTTAATCATATATGAATCTGATCTTTGGCCCAGATATATTGTATAGTAAGTTGTAGCTGTTTTAACGATCAGTTTCCAATAATATTAGTATTAGTAACTGTACTTATATACGTGTTTTACTACTTTATTTTATTTTCTATTACTTTACAATGTGAGGTACTTAAAGCAAAAACTATATATGCAAACAAGTCACCTAGAGTCATAGTGTTCACCTAATACTTAAAACCTAATACAATGTTTCTCCCAATACAAAGTATACACATTTTATAAAAGTTAAAATAAATATACGTTTTTTTTTCTGGTAAATGTGTTTACGGTTTTTTACAAAGGTAACATGTTACTGAATGAAGTATGTTTTATTTTTTATATTTTTCACAGATGTGAACAGCTGGCTTGTCACCTTTGGCTTTCATCTTCACAACACCATCCCTGGGTTTCCGGTCCCTAAGTTTGACCTCAGTATGCCATCCTATGAACTGATGAAGAGTCAGCGCTGGGATGATCTGCCGGTGGGTACAATGATTATCTCTCAGGCATTTTGAACATGCGATAAACAACTGCTGTATTCCTCCAGCCAACAGAAAATATGCTTTTCAGTATAGTGTAGCGGATTAGACAGGCAACCAAACAAACATTTTTTCTATTGTTTATTTCTCAAGTCAGTATTTTGAAACTGCCATCTCCTAATTGGATTGCTATGTATTTCATGGAATATCAATTTTAATTGGGCTGTATTTGCATAATAATACGCATAATAAGCAAAAATGTTACTTCCCCCTGTGTTGTTGTTTTACTTTCCATTTAGACACTGTCTAACTTCCTATGTAATATGTTGGTGTTATTACCGTTTAAACAATCTTTTGAAGTTATGTATGCCAGGCTTGTCTGGTTTAAGGCCTTAACATAAAAAAGTGTTGCTGTAAAATTGTCATGGGGGATTTATCTACTTTTGGCTTGAGAACACAGCTTGAAAAGACCATTATCTTAGACAGGGATGAAAAAGTCTCTCAAGCAGAGCAGTAGCTGGTTCTAAATGGCCTGGAGAGTCTGGTTCTGCCATGTTCAGGCGTTAACGTTTCACTGCACTTTTCCTACAGTCTATCTCTGGGGTCCAGCAGGAAGTTACCAGACAAGCGCACTCTCTCTTGTCATTTGAGCGGCTGCCAGAGGTCCATCTCACTCGAGGTCGCAGAGGTGAAAAGTCTTGGCTGTGGTTCTCAGCGGCAATGTCTCCCATCGGAAGAGCCGTTATGTTCGCCATCTACAAGGGCAGCGTCCACACTCACACGCTCAATGTGGCCGGTGAGGACTGCATCAAGGTTGCAACAATCCTCAACAACGCTTTCTACTTGGAAGACCTCCACTTCACCATAGAAGGACGAGACACACATTACTTTGTCAAGCCTGGCCTTCCAGATGCCGACCTTGCTTCGTTGCACCTCACTAGTGGACATAAGACTCTGGAGAACGGTGTCAATGTCACTGTTTCCCAGTCCACCACCGTCATGGATAGCCGGACTCGGCGTTTCGCAGATGTGGAGATTCATGCCGGTGCTCTAGGTCTTCACATCCGCTATGGATCCACGGTGGACGAGGAGAAAGTGCGGGTGGTTGAGTTCGCCCGTCAGCGCGCCCTCGCAGGTGCGTGGGCGAGGGAGCAGCAGCGGGTGAGGGATGGAGAGGAAGGGGTCCGCCCCTGGACAGAGGGGGAGAAGAGGCAGCTTCTGAGTAGTGGAAAGGTTCTGGGGTTCGACGGGTACTATGTGCTCTCCATTGAGCAGTACCCAGAATTAGCAGACAGTGCTAATAACATCCACTTTCTTCGGCAAAGTGAAATCGGGAAGAGGTAACAATAAGAGGGGCATTTTCTGCCAAAGAGACTTAGTTTTGGTAGAGACTTTCAAGCGGACAAATGAAAACAACTGTAATCAAAGGTTGCTTCTACAGTATGTATCCTGAGTGTCGTGTGTTTTTGAAAATAAAATAAGAAATACAAAAAAGTACAAGTGGTCAAAAGCAATGCTGTGCATTGTGACCTAGGGACTACAGAGTAAATGTATAACTACACCAAGCCTTACAATGGCAATTACAGGTCAGTTCCTCTGTTGCACAAGCCTTTCGGACTCTGGACTCTGATGCAGAGGAATAGCGGTGTCTTTGACGAAACAGTGAGCTAATTTAGGTGTCTTTTGTTTTGTTTTCATCAAGAAAAAAGTCTGGCTCAACAGAGAATGTTAAAAGATCAAACAAAATGTTTACATTATGCATATCTGCACTTCTCTAGAAGTATGGGGCTCGGGAGTTCACACTCGTGGAGCAAGCAGTATCCTTGAGCAAATGCTTGTTTTTAAAATCAGAGACTTCTGACGTTAGAAATATCCTCACCAAACAACCACTATGTATACCAGATTTAGCACTGTAAACATCAAAATGTCTTATTCTCTGAGATGCTTTTGAAAAAAAAAAAAAAAGAAACAGTTTCAATGTTTAAATACCCAATATACATTTTGGGAAAAAAGGGACAGTATAGGTATGCTGAACTCTGTTGGGGAGCATAGGCACAGATGTGTCTGGGATAGCACAGGGACACCATGTTTTGTAAATTATGCAAGAGTTTTATGGGCGTTTTTTTTAAGAAACTGTATTAATGTCTGTATTAGTCATATTAACAGTAATTTATGTTGTGTTTAAACATGACAAATAAAGTCCAGCTGATTTTAATTTCCTTTAATTTTTCAGACAAGCATTTTTATTTTTATTTTCTAATGTGGCTATGTGGGGCTTTTTCACAATGCTCTGTTTAAGTAATTAACAGAAACCTGTGCATGTAGTGACAAGTATTTACAAGTGGTGATGTATCTATAACATGCCGTCAACTATTATTTCCACTAAATTGAATGTTTGTTGGGCATAATGCCTTTTGACCTGGCTGCCTGTCCAATGAATATTTCATCAACACAAATATTTCATGAACCCATTTCACATCAACAAGGTTACAGTGGATCCAAATATAGATCACATCCATGTTCTCGGTAGGTATACTTTTTTTGAATGTTAAATGCACTCATGGATTAAAATGATAGTGGGGTTCTTCTTGGTGTGTTGTTTTTTCAAGAGGTGAGAAAATGTGTTAGGCTTATTCAGACACTAATGTGGATAATGATGTTTCCTAATGGCCTCGGTATTCTTAAAAATATCATAATTACATTCATAATTAGGAAAAAAACATCATCTCAGCTGCAAAGCCAAAGAAGACAAATGCAGATTAGTTTGAAGTCGGCTACTTGAAGCTGTTCTAACCTGAAGTGTGTAAATTAGAGAGATTTAAAGTGTAACTAACCCAAAGTGTAGACAGTGGCCTTGAACAAGCTACTCAGTCAACATCAAAACCATGTGTTTGAAAGTTTGATACCATAATTTTCAAAAGAAAAAAAATAGGGTTGTGTTCAGTTTTTTCCCACGCTCCCTGTATTCATCAAAGCTCAGAAGAGTTCTGACGCTGAAATGTATAATTCTAAAAAACAACTTCACATGAAAGCGATTTATTTTTTATGGTAAACTTCAAGCAGCATTTTCAAACCAAACGCAGAATATTCTTTGCTTAAAGCTTGTTTTATGCTGTTTTTGACCTCCTCCCTACTGTTCAAGCACCCTCACATTCCTTATGTAGTTACTCAAACATAACATTGTTTTCTGACATATAGAGCTCAACAAAACTTCATCTTTGTGAGTGTTGCTCAGCTCAAAATACATGAAATACATGCATTCAAAGTTCTCATGAGAGTCCTTCAGCAACTGATGATGAAATGTAAGTTATTGTTACTTCGCACTAAACATACAAAGAACTTATATGAACCCAATTTGTTTTTATATACATCCATACAAACCCTACCGAAACCCTATACGATAACGAACTCAGCTCGACCAAGTATAAAGCATTCAAATCCTTCTTTCTCTTAAAAGTGCTCTGATGCTCCCTAGTGGTGCACAGTGCATAGTTCAGAGAGTCATCCAGTCCCCCAGCTGACTATTACATGTACATATCATACAGCAGTGCACTTATAATAACAGCAGCAACCACTATACTCCCAGAGAGTTTAGAAAATATTACTGCTTTGAGCTTCAACTTGAATTAAAACTTTTAAATTCTAGTGATTAGCACGCCAGATGTTACAGAGAAAAAAAGCACTCCAGGATACTCTAGGTTAATTTAAGGTGCCATCAAATAGAATACATAAAGCACTATTATTAAAATGATCCGCAGTGCTGCTGCAGTATCACACTGTGACCACAGTAGGCAACAGTGCAGCATATCAGTGCGCAGTGCAACTAGACCGACTTCAAAGCCTTATATAAAAGAGATGGCTCGACTTTGCAAGAACATCAAAGACCCAAAAGCATCACGCAATAGATCAGAGCCGTGAAGAAAAAAAAAACGAGGAATGTTTCATGATTCATTTTATGAACGTAACACAAAGGTAGCCATATGGAATCACATTGCTAAACATGAGATGATTTTACTTTCTATATGTTCCTTCTTGGATCCATGATCAAACACTACAGGTAGTTATAGATTATGTACAGTAAGGTGCTCAAGTTTGACCTCAAGAAACTAGATTTGTACTCATGTTCTGAATTTTCCAAGAGCTACATCTTGTGACGTGAAGCTGAAAAGCTACAGTGATTTAAAGTGACGTTGGATTTACAGTGTTAACGCAGCAATCATTGATATTATATTAGAAATGTGCATTCATCCAAATGCATTAGATAATTATGAGCACATGAAATAGTCAACAGATTGAGCCCTTTTATTGAGCTTCTTGTGAATTAAACAACAGTGTATTGCTGATTGTATCTCCAAGGGCAGTGTTATTCATTTCCACAAGCACACAAGGTGTTGGCGTTCATTATTGCTAATACTCACCTTCAGCTGACAACTTATGGACTTTCTCTCACAGGAGGTACATTTCATTTGCAGGTTAATAACTCGTTTCATCTTAAATCAGAAAGTGTTTCTTTGAAAGGATTTCTTATACAGTCGGAATTTAATCGTGGGAGAGCTACCAAGGTTAATCTATTACAAGAGGAGCACACTATTTCATTAGACTCAAATGACATAATACTGTACATTGGAAAGGTATTGCATACAATGACAAACCAAAAAAGAAAATCTGCTTTTCATTCCACTCGGTATCGGAAGCATAAAATAATTAAATGAAAGGCTAGGTGATTAATTGAGCTATGACGCATGACCTTGTAGCTATTTCTTTAAATTCAAACTGTTTTACAAATTGAATGGACCTGCAGCAAGGGGAATAAATCAATTTGTATAATAAACTGCTTGAAATGTTCTCAAAACACAAGGACAGACTTGGAACCGCACACGTCAGAAAGTCTTGTTTTGTTATGATCACATAATCATAATTGTATGATCTGCACATAAGGTTTATTCTTGGCTCTTACATAATTTCTGATCTTGATATTTCCTAAACTGTCATGAGATGATTGTAAGATAACAAAAAGTTGTTTTGATATGGCATTTATTTGTCAGCATGAGACATAGAGCAACACCACTTATGTCGCCACTCACTTTGACATCAAGTAATTATAGCCTTAAGTTGCTGCGAGTAAACAAATATGGTAATATTATAATATTTCTCCATGATAGTGTTGGTGGTAACTTTCCATAATATTCCCAAAAGGTACATTAATGGTTAGTCTACATTATAATGACTTCAGCGCAAAGATATACAACATCTCTGGCTAATTGCCTTGTTATCTTTTCAATTAATTTCAAATGTGTCTTTAAGGTCAATAGAGAACCCCGCTACAATGATCATTAAACTGTATAGGTTATGTTATTTTTTTTAAATTATCAAAATAGCAAGGTAATTAAAGTATGTATTCTCTGTAAATATATTGTAAAACGACACATAATAGGATTGCTTACACTTTTTGCTGTGATTATATCTGATATCTGGGGATTATAAGAATCTTGAATCATTATTATCTCAACATTTAATTATCCTATAATGATTGCCAGAACATTGGGTTAGTAAAAGCTATGTCTGGGTCATTATAATTACTCAAAAGTGGTGAATTAAACTATGTTATTTCCTCTGTAATAATTATTGCTTAAAGGACGGCTGGAGCTCCAACATAGAGAATCAGATCTTACTATTTTCCTAATATATTTGCCTGATTTTTAATACAATCTAGTGAAAATACATTGGTTATGTTCATAAGTTAAGCTCTTAAAATGTGTCATTGAAGTATAAAAGTCTAAATTAAAATGGATATGTAGATGTAGAATGGCACGCTGACATTTGACAAACACATATGCAGAGTTCAAGGACAATGGGAGAAATACAGAGGGAAACAGTTTAACTTTCATTGGGGATTTGACATGGCAGTAGAACAAAAACAGGCCATATCTCTGCCGTCTTTTAATCAGTGACTCACTCAGACCTTGGAGATAATGCGTAACGACAAGTGCAGCCTATCAGTGAGACGGGCAGGACAGTTAAAGCTCGGAAGATTTACAATGACAGTCTCATCTCGTCTCAAGCCTCTCATCCTCTGTACCCCCTTCTCTCACTTTACATCCCATTCATCCCCGGCTAAATAGGAACAAGAACAAAGCTTTTCGGGGGCCTGCTTTAGCTGCTTTCTTGCTCAGTACGCTGCCTTATATTGCCTGGCTTGTTCCATGTCCCAATTCAGAAATAGCAGCTTGTTATCATCCCTCTGATCTTCTGAGGACAGTTGCACAGGCTGTTGGGACTTTACTTGAGAAGTCTACAAAGAGTGTGGGTGCAAAACAAGGGCGCTAATGATCTTGGAGAGAATTCGAGAGTGTGGAGTGAGGATTCTGATACTCACATTGATGAAAACTGGGTTAACTGTTAAGGTGTGGTTTGGTTGGTAAGGGGGGGGGGGGGGGGGGACACACGCCTGTAATTATTGTTAACTGATCTTACTGTGATAGAAAACAAACAAATATTACCAATTTAGTGCATAAGACCACAAATAATGACATTTGTAGCCCACAACAAGCTCTGGAGCGTGAGATCTCTTGCTCTAAAGGTATGTATATCTGATTTGTCACATTTAAAGGAACACAAACATGAGCTCTGTGTACTTTCTTTAACATGATGTACTGTCCATACACGCTCTCAAGGTCCTCAGAACAACATATTTCCAATCGTGTCTACTGAGGTTAATAAAAAATTAACCAAAATGCAAATATTTACCAATGAGGTCAATGACCCGCAGACTGGTATCAATGATTTAGTAACACACGTCAACAAAGTATTGTGTAGAGACCTACTTGATGACCCAGTGTTTATGATTGTATCGGTGGCTAAAGAATGTCAAAGGAATAGTTATTGTTTAAAAACTAAAATATAGTCAACTTAAATTTCAATAATTTAATCAAATAAGTCAGTTTTTCTTTTTTCTTCTTAGAGCATATTTTAGTATCAATTGGTCGTGGCTTAGATACCTTACTTACAATTGATTTCCCTCCACTTGGGGACCAAACCGCAGTACTTGGGCTGCCAGCTCTACCAACTCAATCATAATAATTACCTCTTTTTAAAATACATGTATTGTGTAGAAACTTTCATGACAAAACAAAGAAAGATAGAAATTGTACTTCAGGATAACCAGCCAGAACATCAAATCGGTGATGCCGCGTATCAGAGCTCCACTAATCTCAGGTAGACGCTTGCATAACCAAGTTCACTATTTGTTAGAGGCAAAACACTCTGATATAAACAGCAATCCTGGAAAGTAAACATTGGAGATACCTTGTGACCAACGTCCACAAAGAAGCTTCCTGAATACCCTAATTCATCTGTGAGTATTAAAGGTTTTCAGCAAAAACTCTTCTTATGCTAGGAATATTTGTTGTATTTACTATCTGCTATTTTTCAGTTTATTGTGTGAAAAAGGTCCTGTGACTGTTCTTTTTTTAACAAGTATCACAAAGTCCAGAAGGTGTTTCTGGTTCAAGGTAAACAGCAGCTCCATGAGGCAAACAGAGGCGGGCCGGATGATCAATCTATCCTGATGAGTGATTGGATGAG